GCACCAGCAGCGGCTCAAGCTGCAGCCGGGCCCGCGGGGGTGCTGCACGGGTGTAATAGGGGGTGGCCCTGAGCTAGGGCCTGGCCCCGGCTGGCCTCCCCCGCCGCCTCACCGGGGGACAGGTACGGGCCGGGACGTTATGGCGTGGGGGGGGCTGAGGGAAGACTGCTCCAGACCCGAGGGGACGCCCTCCACAAAGGCGGAGGCGCGGGGAGCCCGGCGGGGCCTGGGAGAACAGGACTAGAGGGACGGCATCCCCGGACCGCGGGGAATAAGCCGCCGGACCCCGTAGCCAATCAGCGGCCTCGGCCTTTCTGCCCTCGAGGGGGGCGGACCCGGCTAAAGCCCTGCTGTGGTGGGAGAGGTGCAGAGATTAGGGGTCCAGGAGTTGTTTGCCCTCGCTCTCGGACCACTGCCCCCTGATCCCTGGCACCATGTCAGAGCTCGGAGGTGGGGGAGGGAATCGATCACAAGTCGACCATTTAGTCTGCTTCATTTGCAGCCCGGAGGGGCAGAGATTTGAGGTGGAATGTTGTCTTTTGGGCTGTTACCCTTGCATCCGCACCCCCATTGTGACCATAGGTTGTGAGTGACCCAGGGCACGTTGGGCCCTGTTAAGACCGCCGAGACAGGGGCCATCACTGGGCCGTTCAGAAAGGGGATGGGAAATACAGAAAGAACCAAAGTTACAGGCAGCTATATATATTCATTCGCATACTCAGTGGACACTAAGCCAAACACTGTTAGGCACTGGGGATGCAGTGACTGATTTGATAGACACGTCCCTGCCCTCTGCATGTGGCAGGCCAGGTTCCCACCTCCCTCCTCAAATGCTCTCTTTTCCTTCCAGGTCCAGTCTGGTGTTCACCATGCCCCAGGCCTCTGAGCATCGCCCGGGCCGGACCCGAGAGCCACCTGTTAATGTCCAGCCCCGAGTGGGATCCAAGTTACCATTTGCCCCCCGGGCCCGCAGCAAGGAGCGCCGAAACCCAACCCCTGGGCCAAACTCCGTGTTACGACCTCTGCCTCCTCGGCCAGGTCCCCCTGATGAGCGGCTCAAAAAACTGGAGCTGGGACGGGGACGGACCTCCGGGCCCCGTCCCAGAGGCCCCCTTCGGGCAGATCATGGGGTCCCCCTGCCTGGCTCACCACCCCCAACTGTGGCTCTGCCTCTCCCGTCCCGGACCAATTTAGCCCGTTCCAAGTCTGTGAGCAGTGGGGACTTGCGTCCCATGGGGATTGCCTTGGGAGGGCACCGTGGCGCCGCGGAGCTGGGGGCTGCGCTGAGCCGCTTGGCACTCCGGCCTGAGCCACCCACTTTGAGACGCAGTACCTCTCTCCGACGCCTAGGGGGCTTTCCTGGACCCCCTACCCTGCTCAGCATACGGACAGAGCCCCCCACTTCCCATGGCTCCTTCCACATGATATCTGCCCGGCCCTCCGAGCCCTTCTACTCGGAGGACAAGATGGTGAGGACTTTGCACACGTGGCCTTCCATGCCCATGTTCCCCTGTACTTGCCATCGTGTGCTTTCCCGTCCCCCTTCTCCCTAAGTTCCTTTCTCAGCCTCTCATCACAGCAGTCTGGACTCTCTCCTCTCCTCTACATGAAGTACCCTGGAGCCTCCCAGACCCTTCTCTGGGTTGTCTGGGATGCCCCAGCATGGTGTGCCAGCCCAGTCCCCAGGGAATGAACCCCACTATTTCGAATTCTTTCTTGGGTCCCCAGGCCCTCTCTTTCTCTTGCTGCACCTTCTCTCCTCAGGCCCTACCAGGGCCTAATTAATCCCTGGAGCTGAAGAGGGGCGGGCCCGGATCACCTGAGCTAATGTGGTTGCCCATTTTCTGAGCAGAGTGAGCTAGGCTGATTGCAGTTGGAGTCAGCAGGAGAGAGCGCAGAAAGGGCCACGGGGGCAGGAGGGGGCTTTGGGGGCAGCCTTACTGCTCATGACCAGTGAGGTAGGGAGACCAGCATGCCCAATGAGGGCGAGGGCAGGAGGGCAGAGTGTGGCGGGGGGGGGGGGGGGGGATCACAAGGTGGGGGGGAGGCAGCAGGCAGCATGCTGGAAGGCTGGAGGGCCAGGTGGGACATTGGGGAACCTGCTGACCACACTCTGACCTTGCAGGCTCATCACACGTTGCTGCTGGGCTCTGGTCACGTTGGCCTCCGAAATCTGGGAAACACGGTGAGAGCCGTTCTCCTGGCCTTCCCTGCTGAAACGAATGCTCGGAGGCATGGGGCACTTGCTGACTTGGGGGAGACAGGGAGAGGAGAGCTTCCTCACTGATGGCTTGGAGCGATGACAGCAGTGTCCCTTCTGCCCCCCAGTGCTTCCTGAATGCCGTCCTACAGTGTCTGAGCAGCACTCGGCCTCTTCGGGACTTCTGTCTGCGAAGGGACTTCCGGCAAGAGGTGCCCGGAGGGGGTCGAGCCCAGGAGCTCACTGAAGGTGAGGCAGCAACTCCAGCTTCCATTCAGGTCCCTTTTCCCAATCTCTTGCAGCTCCCTCTGCCAGTGCTGGCAGCTCCCAACCCCTAAGTCTCTGGAGCACAGTGCCTCCTCTTGCTTGTCTCTTCCAGACGTTAACCTCGGTCTCCCTTCTCCACTCCACCCCCACAGCCTTTGCAGATGTGATCGGTGCCCTCTGGCACCCTGACTCCTGCGAAGCTGTGAATCCAACTCGATTCCGAGCTGTCTTCCAGAAATACGTTCCGTCCTTCTCTGGATACAGGTAGGAAAACTAGAGGGTATATGGTTGGTCTCTGGCCATGACTCGGGGTGGGACAGAGCAAGGGCCCTGGCAGCATTGTTCTGAGCCTCAAGCTGTTATTCAGCCAGAGCGGGGACTGACATCTGGGCAGGGGTAGTGTGCAGACTAGGAGAGGGTCTGCTGCCCATACTCTGCCTGGCTGTAGCCAGCAGGATGCCCAAGAATTCCTGAAGCTTCTCATGGAGCGGCTACACCTTGAAATTAACCGACGAGGCCGTCGGGCTCCACCAATCCTGGCCAACGGACCAGCTCCCTCTGCGCCCCGCCGAGGAGGTGCTCTGCTGGAAGAACCCGAGCTGAGGTAAGGGCCACTCTTGCACCTCTCTGCAGTCCTTTACCAGCAGCCTCTGTCCTTCTAGAACAGACCTAGCTGAGACTGAGGATGTGGGGTCCCAGGAAACCCTTTAGTAGAGAATGCAGTTTGAGAAGCTGTGGAAGTAGAAGGAAGAGGCGGAGGGAGGAGGGGTGCAAATGGAGACCAAAGATAGTGCTAAAGATGGCACCCGATCAAGGGAGGGGGAACAGTTTACAATAGGGTACCTAAAAAAGATGTGTGTGTGTATATGTGTGTGTGTACACATATACATTTTTTTCTTTTAATTTTCAATAGGGTGTGTGTGTTTACCAGAGACAAAGAGGGCGAGAGAGAAAGTGAGAAATCTCCTCCAGGGAGATGGCCATGCTGCAGTCCCTTCTTCTCTATTTTCTCCCCAGGATTTTGGGCACACATGCACATGCACCTGGTTCAGTTTTTCGTTTTGGAGAGGTTTTTGCTATACGGCACGTGTGCTCGCCAGAAAGAGACAGGGAGACAGAAAGTGAGAAATCACCCCCCAGGGGGGATGGTCACGCCGCAGTCCCTTCTCCATTTTCCTCTAGGGATCTTAGACACGCACGCACACGCGCTTGGCGTGAGTTTTAAGCCACCAGGTCCAGGATGCGAACCGCGGTCGACTACGTGGGTGTCCAGCGACATAGCCATTACACTAACTGCTGGTTCCCTCCACCTGGTTTGTTTTTAAGCCACTAGGTTTGATTGAGATTCAAACCATGCAGTCAGCCATGTGGGATCTAGTCACCTTAACCACCACACCACCTGGCTAACCCCTATCAGAAGGATTTAGAGCCAGGTGGAGGACGGCAACATGGACTGCCCTTGTATACATTCCTCTCTTCTCCTGTTCTTTTTGTAAAATTTTTGTCAGAGTGCATACGCTTGCCAGAGAGAGAAAGGGAGGGATAGAGCAGCTCCCTGGAGAATGGTCATACCACAATCCTTTCTTCACTCCAACCTGTTGGGATTCTGGATACACACGCATACATGCCCGGCATATTTTTCAAACCTGGACTCAAACAGCGGGATTGCCCATGTGGGATCTAGCTGCCATAACCACTAGGCAATGAAGCCAGCCCCCTTTCTTTTCCTCTCACCTCAGATTTCCCCAGAAAGTCCCCTACAGCATTGATCCTTTGTCTTTCCCTTAAAATTGAGATCAGGCCTGGGGTGTGGGTGGGGCACAGGGCTCTATGGGTCCTTTCAGTGTTGCGGTCTCATGGCTGCTCCCCTCTTCCCTTGGTTCGTGGCAGTGATGATGACCGAGCCAACCTAATGTGGAAGCGTTACTTGGAGCGAGAGGACAGCAAGATTGTGGGTATGGAACGGGGCAGAGCAGCATGGGGAAGTGGGGGGTGCAGGCTTGGTAGATGGAAGTTGGAACCACTTAGGGATGCACAAACAAGACTGGATGATGAGAATGCAGAAGGCGTGAAGAGTCTGTGAGCAGCGTCTGTAGTGGGAGTGGAAGGGCCAGGCAGGGGGCGGGAAGGGACAGGAATCCAAGCAAGCATCTTAAGCATCCAACAATGACTTTTTCTCCTGCCCCTTTGCTCCTGTCTAGACCTGTTTGTGGGCCAGTTGAAAAGTTGTCTCAAGTGCCAGGCCTGTGGGTATCGCTCCACGACCTTCGAGGTTTTTTGTGACCTGTCCCTGCCCATCCCCAAGGTGGGATTCCAGAGGATTCCAGGGGTGGATGGGACACGGGTTCTGTGACCCAACCCTAGCCACCTCCGAGTGTGGGTGGGAACCCTGTGGGTCCTGGAACAGAAATGAAGCCTGGATTAATTGAGAAGAGCTGGAAAAGAAAACTGAGAGTATGCTGACCCTTCCTCCCCTTTCCCCCCAGAAGGGATTTGCTGGGGGCAAGGTGTCTCTGCGGGACTGTTTCAGCCTTTTCACCAAGGAAGAAGAGCTAGAGTTGGAGAATGCTCCAGTACGTCGGGGTTCCCAAGGGGTACAATAAGGGTGGGTTGCTTAATGCCTTAATATGGGGAATGGCATTTATACGTCTGGGATTGCGGTGGCGTGTCATAGCTATGTCCTAGTACTCCTAGGGCAAAGGGGAGTGGCCCGGGTGACACAGAAGTAACGGGGAGCTTGCTAAATTCAGCGCATTAACTTAACACTATTTGGTATTTACTCAGGTATGCGACCGATGTCGGCAGAAAACCCGAAGTACTAAAAAGCTGACAGTACAGAGATTTCCTAGAATCCTCGTGCTCCGTATCCTCACCCTCAAATTCTCATCTCCCTTGCAGACACCCATACATTTTCTGTCATCCTTCGTGTTTGCAAAGGCTGGCCACCTGGGGACTGAATTTTCCCTAGGAACAGCCTACCACCACCACCACCCCCTTGCCTCCCAGTATGTGTCAGGGAGGGAAGAAGACAACATTGAGACCACATCCCCCCCAGAAACCCTCTGCCTCCCAAACACTCCTTAACTGGGGCTTAGACCTGAATCGGTTTTCTGCCTCCCGAGGCTCCATCAAGAAGAGTTCAGTAGGTGTGGACTTCCCACTGCAGCGACTGAGCCTAGGGGACTTTGCCAGTGACAAAGCCGGTGAGTCTGGTGGGGACGGTCCTCAGGAGCCCCAGGAAAGGGCACAGCTCTGATTATGGAACCTGATAACCTCTAACCCCCAGGAAGCCCCACATACCAGCTGTATGCCCTTTGCAACCACTCGGGCAGCGTCCATTATGGCCACTACACAGCCCTGTGCCGGTGCCAGACTGGCTGGCATGTCTACAACGACTCTCGGTGAGAACAGCCTCCCCAGGAGAGCACAGGCCTGGTGGAAGGAGGGGTGTGGGGGCCTCTCCTGATTTCTTCCTGGGTGCTCTGAGGTTGCATCTTGGGGAGGACTGACCACAGCCCCTTCCCCACCTCCTCCTTCCTAGTGTCTCCCCTGTCAGTGAAAACCAGGTGGCGTCCAGTGAGGGCTACGTGCTGTTCTACCAACTGATGCAGGAGCCACCCCGGTGCCTGTGACAGACACCCTCTCTGAGCCCTGGCACCTGTGAAACCCTTTCAACACCCTTAAGCCCCAGGCTCCCCGTTTACCTCAGAGACGTCTATTTTTGTGTCTTTTTAATCGGGGAGGGGGGTGGGGGTGGCTGTAGCTCCCATTATTTTTTTTATTAAAAATTACCCTTCCACCTGGAGGCTCCCTTGTCTCCCAGTCCCTTGTACAGAGCTCATTGGGCCCTTGCCCATGTACAGCCCCCAGGCCCTCTGCAATCTCACTTTTTGTGAATAAATTTATTAAGAAAAAATGATGTCCTCCTTAGTATTTGTACTTAGCGGGTGGAGATTTATGCGGAACTGAGCTAGCTGCACTGGGGTCTTCCTAGGAGCCAGTTCTCTCTGTGAACAGGCGGGGGCGCTGTGAGAACCAAGGGAGAAGGGTGGGGGCGGTGCCAGACACAGACGTGGGTGCGCCCAAGCCGCGAAGGCTTAGCACCGGGAGAAGAGGGAAGGGCGGCGGGGAGGCGCGTGGAGCTGCGGGGAAGCCTGGGGCTGGCGTGCAGGAGCTGGGACGATGGGCTTTGCCGGCGATGGGGACGCCCCTCGAGGCCTAGGCACCCAAGAACCCCTGTTGACAAACACTGGGTACGTTGCCCGGCGGCCCGAGCTCCCGTAGGCCCCGCCTGTTGCTAACATCAAGGAGCTGTTTATGGAGCCGCTTCCCGGCGGACCGGCCTCCAGTGTCCCCATCTACTCTCCTTACAGCCAAAGCTCACGGGACCGTCTCTCCAGGGTTCTTACACTAGCTGGGCCTGGGAAGCTTGAGCTGGGGAATGCCAACTCCAGAATTCGGCTATCCCCGCCTCGGGCCGGCGAGGGCTGTGCCAGGCCCGCCGCTCGCGCCCACC